CCAGAGGAGGAAGTACTCGCCGAAGAGCTCGACAACCTGCTCGCCGACGCCGTCCTGGTAGACGCGGGTGCGGAGGTACGACTTGGGCGCCTTGTAGGCGACGGAGAAGTCGAAGGCCTTGAGGGTCGTGGCCTTGGGGGGCTTCTTCATCTCCGCCGAGGTGAGGATCTCGAGCAGAGGGGAGGCGAGGGGGATGTAGGTTCCGGTGGCGCGGGATGTGCGCAGGAGGGAGCGGATGAGGTGGAATCGGAGGGGGAAGTAGGTGGAGGTTGGGATGAGGCGGAGAGCGCCGAGGGTGACCTGGACCAGGGGATAGATCAGGAGTCTGAGCTGGGACTCTTTGCCCGCCTCGGCCTCCTTCAGGGGGCTGCAGTGCTCAGCAAGGACGCACGACCAGAAGTCGAGCGAGTGTACATATTGCCAGTTGTAGACGATGCGGAATGAATCGTTCTTGTTGTTCACGATGCTGTTGCGAAGGTGGATGGCAAGCTGGCGGATGAAGGTGAAAGCGGTCGTGTATCCAACACTGGGGTCGATACCCCAAAGCTCAGCGGCGGAGTTCTTCATCAGGTTGATGCCCTGAATAGTGTTGTGGTTGGTTGTTCGGCAGCCCTGGACGAGTCCTTGGTAGGCGGCTTTCAGAACAGTCTCGCGGATTCCCTTATCACCAATGACCACCAGGCGACGTAGGACCAGGAAGGCAGTGATACGTGTCGATTCGGAGCTTGCAGGCTGAGCCCAGAAGTTGACAACCGACTTGGCGAGAGCCTTTACAAGCTTCTTGAAAGACAGAAGATAAGGTAGAACTGGCTCAAGGGATGACAGAGTCAACTTGAGGGTGCGATCGTCTGATAGCGTGCTCAACAGGTGCATGATTGAGGACGTATATGACTTTAGAAGGAGCGAGAGCGTCCTGAACTTTTTGGTTTCTGTCTGGACGTAGACCTTTCCTGACGACGACTCCTTGACGGGGAGGTGGTGGTTCATCACCGTAGGAATGTGCTTCAGCGCGAGTGTGAGGATATCGTTGAAGACCTCTGGGCTGTTGATCTTCCACCGTTGCTCAGTCTCACCATTCTCATCATCCTCGTTCAGATGCGCGGCGCATCGGAAGGCTAGGACAACCTGTCTGGCTGCACGCAGAGAGTTCTTCTCCTCGATTGATTTTTTCCAAACGGCAACCGTCTCTCGGGTGAGCTCAGGAGTACCGGCTGGCTTTTCCTCAACCTCCTTTGTCTTCTTCCGCTTCTTCTTGGGCTGCTCCTCTTCCTCCGACTCTTCGCCAGGGCTGAGTTCGTCAATTTCTGCTAGGTCCGTGTTGTCATCGAAGTCTAGTGCCTCGGGATCATTCTCTCGCAAGAACTTGTAGAACTCGGGGTCCTTCTTCGCCAGGTCATCCATTGCCTGCTTGCTCATTCCGGCTCCAGCCTCGTCTTCATCCTCGCCTGCGCTGTCGTCGCTGTCGTCGCCCATTGGCTGTTCGGCCGCGGACGATCCAGAGCCGTCTTCCTCATCGGATCCCTCGTCTTCGTCGGCCTTGGGTCCATCTCTCTTCCTCTTGCCAAGCTTGGGCGACTTATCAATGATGTCGTCAAACCCACCCTTGAAGAAGTCGTCGACGCTCATGTCTGCAACCTTCCTCCCCTTGGATGCCTTCGGTTTCGAGGCCTCGCCATCGGCGCCATCCTTGGATCCCTTGTAGAACTCGGCATCCTGGGCTTTTCGTGCCTGTTTCTTATCCTTGATCTGATGTCGCTGCTTGACTTTGGCGGAAGCTTTTCTGTTGTCCAAGACTCCCTTGAGATGCTTCTTTTCGAATTTCTTGGTGGCCTTGAGGTTCTTCTTAACAGGACCCATGGTGTCTCGTTTTCCTAGTAGAGCACCAATTGTTGGTACTCAATTGGGAACCCGGCGACAAGAAATGACTTTTAGGTGCAGCGCTTGGAACATCAACAATTTCCTGCAGATACTTCTTTTCACGTACCAAATTTTTTTCCGGGTCACCTTATCGATAATCAATATGGGCTCCGCTGTGGAGAACCATTCGGTGGGCGGTGAGATTATACTGCCGCCTAATCCACCCCTGCACCTACGTAAGATGCGCTTGAGCTGCGTCTTTCTTGGTGGGATGGCTCGCTCGCAGGCTTCCCAATGCCTGATGACCACTATCCACGATGATTCACCGACCGCAGAGCTATGCCCCGACGCCGCATAGCTATGTGCCGGTGTCGAACCTCTCGGCGACCATCAACCTCGATGAAGTGAGCAGCCATCTCCAACGGACACACATCTGCGCCCGTGTTCCTCTCTGACCGTGCCTGGAACCGACCCACTAACCCCACGTTGTAGGAGGTGAAGCTCACCAACACCCGCGCCGAGCGTGACCTGCAGGAGTCGCTCGCCGAGCTCTTCAGTATCATCGTGACCCTCGACGAGCTCGAGAAAGCCTTTTTAAAAGACGCCGTCCCCGAAGCAGAATACACCGAGATATGCGAGCGGTCTCTAAGACAGTATAAGGCGCTGTTGGCTGACGATACGATCGCGAACGAGTTCCAAGGCCTGGAGGAGTTCAAGGCCCGATGGGATGTATGTATACGTTGAATCATGTTCTTATCGATCCCCGACCTGATTCTAATCTGTTACGTAGCTCGAAGTGCCCCGCGCGACTGAGCGCATACGAGTCGGCATGCCCTCTACCACGGTGACAGCGTCGTCCTCCTCAGTCGCACCAGCCCCCTCCAACGCCCCCGCGAACAATGCGAACGGCCTCCTTATCCTCGAGGCGACTCAGGATTTCATCACATTTCTTGATGCCGTCAAACTGGGTCTCCTTTCCAAGGACCAACTGCACCCTCTATTATCGGACGTTATTCAGTCTGTGAACCGTGTGACGGACAAGGATTTCGAGAACCGAGGCAAGATCGTACAGTGGCTCATCACACTCAACCAGATGAAGGCAACCGAGGAGTTGAGTGAGCAGCAGGCTAGAGAGTTGGAGATGGAGATTCACCAGGCGTACCAAGGCTTTAGGCGGACACTGGAAACATAATTAGAATTCGTCAAGAGAAAGACATGAGATATCCCACTTACACACCATGAACTGCTGATATGCCATGTGAATGTTGAATTTGATATGAGATTTTCCAGTTTTTCCCCTTTCTTCCTGAACCAGCCCAGTTATCGCTCTATTAAATCAAAAATGTCCAGAAGCTCGGGTACACGAGTTCCTCCTCGAATATCCTCCTCACCTGATCCAGCACGAACCTCTCCACCTTGCCCACGTTTTTCAGGCTCTGCTTCCCCGCGACCCTGTCGCCAATCTCGCTCTCCACCTTGATCTCCTGCAGCAGGCCCCCGAACCTGCCCTTGGGCTCCCCCCCCCCGTCGCCCTTCTCCTTCTTCTTCTCAGACCCCTCCTCCTCGTCCTCCTCGTCGGGCCCCACGGCCGTCATGGCGTCCTCGGGGCTCAGGAAGCAGAAGTGCACCCGCTTCCGGATGTTGGCTAGCACGCCGACGCCGTCAAACGATAGGCCCGTGATGTTGAGCTTCAGCGGGATGCCCACGAAGCTCGGCATGGGGTAGTCGAGGAGGATCTCGGCCGTCAGGTTGAGCCGCACGTCCCCCGCGTACTGTATCCGGAAAACGGCCTGGACGTCCTCGAGGCGCGCCTCGCGGTGCCGGGAGGCGCCGCCCGGGCCGTCGCTCCTGTCGTCGTCGTCCACCTCGATGGCCGAGCCCTGGAGGTAGGTGTCCCGCGTGGGCGGGCGCGACGTGCTCCCCGACGTGGCGGCCAGGGTCGACACGCTCGACTTCTCCCGCAGGGGGTGGGTCGGGGAGGTCAGGGGAGGGGCGAGAAGGTCGACGGAGCTGATGCTGCCGTGGGACGGGTTCCGGCTGTGGCTGGGCGGGCGGAGGTCCGGGTGCTGCTCGATGGGCGAGTTCATCCAGCTGCTGTGGCCCAGGTGGGCGCCGGCGACGGCGGCCAGAGGGGTGTGGCTGCCGGTGTGAAGATGGCTCTGGAAGTAGTTGAGCGCCGGGCCTCCCAGTATTCCGGGCGTCGAGGTCCCCAGGAATGGGCTTCCCATGTCATGACCGTGGTAGAATGTGTGCTCGTGCCTCAAAGCGGTAGGTCGTCCTCGTTCGCCAGCCCGTACACTAGGAACTGCGATGTCCTCCTCGTCATCCTCCTCCTCCTCTTCGCTACTCTCCTCATCATCATCTAGGTCCCCTTCGTAGAAGTCAGGGAGAGGGTTGGTGATATCCTTGAGCACGAGGCTGGGCGGGATAGAGCCAAAGTCGAACCCCTGGACCGTTACAGACTTGATGAACCGCGGTAAGGGCACTGCCTGGAATCTGTCGTGGATGAAGCATTTGATGCGCTCCGCCAAAGCAGCGCCATCAGGGCCGCTTGTCAACGTCTCCCAATTCAGGTCGATGGACATTGGCCAAGGAGGTATTCTAGCCTGATAAGTGAATCTCTATGTGTAGAATATAATTAAATCGAAGGGGAAATATTGGCAATATTTTACGAGTAGAGTTGATATCACTGATTGCGATGAGATGGTTTGTCCCGAGGCTTTTGGCGGGTGTGCCCGAGTTAGTGATTTTGATGCCCCACAAGCTCAAACTCTCACCAAATCGCCTTCTCTCCAGAACGGGGAGGACATTATCAACATATTCACATCATATGTAGTATTCCATGCTAATATGTGAGAAGTAGTACTGGCTTTCATTGAACAAGGTCGGGTGTTTAGTCAAAGCTTGCATTCATGGCTTCAATGAATATATTCGTTTACTATATACGGCATGTCTCTTTCCATGGTATCATTGCATCATTAGTAGACAATTGCTTGTCCGTATTCTCAAACATGACGTTATTCTCCATCCTCGTGTTTTTGACCAGATACTTCGAATCTTGCTCGCGACTGAGATGCAGGCGCTTGGGGGCCGCTGAATAGATGCCAACAAGTCGGTGATTGTAAGATGTATCTGCTTGGTGATTAGTACTCATGTTCAAAATGTGCATCATCAATCTCAAGGTAGCGATAAGAGACATACCTTGCCATGGCCTCTCTAAATCGAGACTTGTATTCTTTAGGGCTGGTAACGGTCGGCCGGTTGCGTCCTCCTCCAGCGAACCCCCGATCCTTGATCCAACTCTCAAGCTTCTTGTCCCACGTGTATGTTCTAATGCAATCGATAATACCAACAACCAACTCCTTTCGAGTCTCATCGACAGCAATCATCAATGAATAATCCATAACATTTTGTCTCGCTAGGAACAACGTGTCGTTCCACACTGAGGCTCGAAGAAGCTTTTTGGAATGCTCGCGGGCAAACAGTGGTGACTCGGATATGAAATCAACCATGTTTTCATCCAGGAGCACTTCATTCTGTTGGCCTGTGGACTGGATTCTCCGGTTTCTCATGGAACCTTTCAAATCAAATATGCGATCAGGGGAACGGTCGTAAAAGAGATTTTCCGTAATGAGCAGATCAAACTTGATGTCAGTCGCAGTCAAGGGGTTTTTGATAAAGACCTGAAAGAAACCCAGCATTTTGGCGATGACGGATGGGAGATCGTGGAATAGAGCCTCAGCCATGATCGAGAAGTATCCAGGGGCAAAGCGCAAGAACGCCGACGTTTCCACCGGAGATAGAGACTTGGGTAGGTTAGCAAATGAACAAGAATATTCTCTTATAGGGATAATGAAACAGTACATACCTTGAGAACGAGTCGATCATCTAGGGTCTTTAAGAAGACTGACTTTGTTTTACCACCCTTCGAATCCCATTTCAAACATCGAGACAACGATTCGATGATCCGCTCAGAGACACCGCACTTTCTGCGCAAAGCGTCAAACTGCTCAGCGTAGAATATTTTGCAGGTCATTACAGCAGGACCTTCTTTGAATTGGTATTTCAGGTGAGTGCCCGTTGGCTGTAGTAGACTATTCTCCATCTCCCTCTCTAGTTCGAACTGTGCATTTTCATAGTCTGAGCGAGCCGGGTCCACATCCGCCTCGTCTCGGTGCGTTGCCTGTGATTCTGCTCGGATTCGAGCAAGCTTGTCTTGATAATCATCACTGTTGAGAACCAGAGCGATGACCGAACTTGGCTCGTCTTCCCGCACAATGATGTCAGAATCAACAAAGATGTGATCTGTTGGATTGATGGGATACTCAAGGGCTGGCCATCCACTAGCTGACCGTTCTGCCCAAAAGTTGGTCAAGTATTTCATCAAACTTGTCTTTTGGTGTTTTGGAAGCTCGAGAGGAATCTCAGTACTGGGCTCTAGAGCATCCGCAATCTCTTTGATTTCCGGGAGAAACTCTTCAGAAACCGTGGGCTCAACATCGCTCGAAGCTCCTTCATCTTCGGACATCGCCTGACTACTCTGGACCGTTCCAGGATCCTCCGTATCTTCTCTCGAATTCGTTTCCGTCAGTGGCGGTTCGGTGTCTTCAAGGCTTACACTAGACTTTTCGTTTTTGAGCTCCTCCTCCTCCCCTGCTTTAGGGACGTGCTCGGTAGAAGGTTGTTCGTCTCCGCGGAGCGCATCGGGCGCTGGAGATGGTTCCTCAAATGCATCTTTAACATCATCATATACCTCAACAAAAGGTTTAGTGGATGCTCTGGGAAGCATAGCCCTGGGCTGGCGCAAGCTTGCGGCTCGTTTCTTACGATCCCGGATCCGCTCCTTTTCGAACTCGCGACTCAGCTGCTCAAAATGACGTGCAAGGGCTGAAACTTTGGATTCCCTCTTTTTTGTTACAAGCCGGGGGATGTTGGATTGGCCCCCTTTGGTCCGATTTTTCAAGGCACTAAGTCCAAGTCTCTCAGAGAGCTTCTTATCTACTCTGACGGGGGTCTCTTGGCCTGACTGACGGTCGCCACTCTTGTGATCTGTAGGTACGGTCTTCGATTCCTTAATCGGTTGAGGCTTACTTGTGGAAGATTGCGTTCTAGACAATGTCCGCACAGGATGGGACGTAGCTCGAACCAAGGGAGGGGAAGCATGAGAGCCGGACCGACGTGCTGATGCTCGGTCTGGAGTATGATGGGAGCTTTCAGTAGATATAGGTGTCCCTGTTGGTTCGCTTGATTGACTGGAGTGCGAGGCATGTTCTCGGCGCATTTGGTCGACCTTTTCGGTTAGCGACTGCCCAGATGTAGATGTCTGGGGAGGTATTTTGCGTGGAATAGTTGGCGAAAGTGGCCGCCGTGGGGAAGGTTTGGGCGAAGAAACAATCTCTTTGCGACTTGTATCGATATCTGGGGGACGTGACAATTCAGCCGGAGTTTTAATCGGGGCTGTTGGAGAGCTCGCCAAGTCTAGAGGTTCGACTCTCTCAATCGCGCCTTCGGTACGAGCATCGACTTTGCTCTCTTCCTCGGCCGATATGCTGTCTTCGAGTTTGGTTGAGGATGCTACACTATCCTCTAAACTAGGTGTGGTTGTATACTCTGTGGGTTGAGTGCTCTTCTCTTCAGTCTCCGAGAAAGTTTGTGATGGTCGCTCTTCACTATCTGCCGCGGAGCCAGACCCTTCAGTAGAGACCAGTGACTCCTTGGAGTCGTTGTCTGCGATCAGCTTTTTGAGTTGCATCATGATCTGTTGACGCATATCTTTATCGCCGAGGAAATCTGCTTCAAACTTGGCAAAGGCTGTGTCCCACGCTTCGGCCTTCTCGAGCATCATTCGAACGATAGCGTTGAACGGGACAACTTCGTAATACTTGGTGTTTACATAAATCTCCTGGAGCCGTTGAACCACTGCAGGTTGATCTTCCTGAGCCAGTTTGTTGAGCCTCTCAAGCTCAGCCTTGAATTCTTCAGCTTTCTCGGGCAGGACGCTGTCTAATCGTATACTCTTCAGCCTTGCTTTGACAGAGTTCATGAATTTGGACCATCTATTCTCCATTCTCCTGTATATCTCGTTCTTCAACTTGATGTCATTGGCGACTTTCCAAGTAATCCTCAACCTTGGGACCACAATTTCCAAAAGATCAATGGGATCCCAGTCAATTCGGACACGGGAATCATCAAGGCTGAAGTAACGGACATGATCACGATGGTGATCGTGGCCACAATGAACACTGTCTTTCATGCGCAAGCCCCTTCCCCAGAAAAGTAGCTCTAGATACTTGCCGAAAGAATACTTGAAGGTCAGTTCAGACATTGGTATCTCCTCTGAATCTTTCTTGCATACTCTACAGTATGTCCACATAGTTATGCCGTCGCCGAGTTCCGGCTGTCTTTCCGGAATGGACGAGAGTTGTTCGATGGATACCGTAATTCGTGCTCGGTCATGCACATATGATCTATGGTGCTCAATCATCCTGCGCTCGCATCCATTGGAGGAACATAAGTCGTTTTTCCCATACACCATTTCCTCAATGTACTGCCCTAATGTGCAGTCTGGGTCAATGGCAGGATCGATATAGTCATCATCGTAGAAATTGATGGCCAATAAGACTGGTTCAGTGCAAGGAATTTTAGTCTCTGTACAGGTCATCGAGTACAGAACAACTATATTCTGATGAGAGTATGGGTCAAATAAATCCAGATTTCCCTGAATATATGTTTCCCACTGGCGTGTCTGGGTTTGGTAATTAAAGAGGGCTTTATCGTATTCGGCATCATGGACAGCCCGGAGGATTTCTCTCATCTGTCGTGGTGCCTTTTGGCCGATCTGTTCCACCATCTCAGGTTTTATTAGCTGAAATTCCTGATTATTGGTATCTTCTTCTGATTCAAAGGCATCGTGCTCGAGAAGTTGCCTGAGGTATGATAGCCGTCGTTCTTGCTCCCGAGCCTTCATCAGAAGATAAGGCTGTGCAAACTTAACGAAAGGCGATGCGGAGAGTATCTTCGTTTCGTATTTCGCGACCATGTCACTGTAGAAAGTGGGCATTGGTATGTAGTCTGGAACCTGATTATTTTGGTCATCATCAGAATGTGGTTCAGCTGCCCCTGGGAGTTGTTCAGTGGGCTGTGAAGCTGGCGCGTCAGCTTTAGATAATAAATCATCCTCAACCTCTTCAGATTGCTGAGAGGTCTCTGCTGGAGTATCGGCAGGAGGTGAAGGAGCCTCCTGGGCAGGTGGGCCGGGAGCAGTAGCTGAACTGATGTTGGGTTGATCTGGGGTGGTCAAAGAATTCGTAGATTTCAAACTTTCGCTCAAAGCTTGGATGGAATTTGAGAGCGAGTTGCTCGCAGATTCAGGGGGGTCAATGGACTCGTCTCTGAGCAAACTGGATTCCAGCTTCAAGTTGTATACCACGTAAACCATGAATTCGACAATGTGTTTAACCCGGGCCAAAACTGAATGTTTCGCCCCGCGAATCACAATAGTGCAGCCCAACTCAGGCTTACATCCTGACAGATAGATGTAGGATTTCTTTCGGCCTGGATGATCGTTGTTGACAAACGTTCGAACCTCGAAGCCCATACATCGCCCCACCTTGACAGGCAGCGCCAACATGTCAAGGGATGAGATGATTTCTGTCTCAGCGCAGCGTGATACAGCTTCAATGACGGTATGCTTAACATTATAGGCAACCGCAATATTGGCTTCTGACAGATATTGGAGGGCGACGCCCGAAACACTCTTCTCAGCTAAGAGCAAGTGTGGGTGTAGTTTGCTGATTCTTTGTACAACTACCCTGAGAAATTCCTTTTCTTGCTCAATGACTGGCTGCAGACTCATAAAGTGCTGCTGGTGTCGTTGGTATTCGAGAGGGAACGTGACCAGAACGATTCGAGGGTTGCTTATTTTGCGCGGCATACTTTTGAGAGCCAAGTTCTTTGTAAAGACCACACCAGACACATAGGCGGTGTCGCCAGGTTTACCTCCTGGTATTCTTTTCAACTTCACGTAACGCCTGATGTCCATATAATCTCTGTTCGCAACATCCGGGCTCACATCGTCAGTTGACTGAAGCAAAATTGGAACAAGGGCTCGATCCCATGCCGCTGGTTCGGGAACATCGGCATCTACTAACAGCTGCCGCAGTAGCTTGTGGATATGCTGGATGCTGGACTTATTCAGCTCGGCCTTGGGCGGTGCACTACCTTTCATTAAATCACTGCTCGTGAGGGGCGGTCTGCCTTGGCTATGATGCTCCAACGCAAACAGCAACTCGGATGAGGCAGATGGGCCCTTAAAAGCTGCGGATTTGTGTCTAGGTGATGGCGCGTAGTGGTGAACGTTTCCACTTTGGCTTAAATTCCGCCTTCGCGTTGAACGACGATGACTGATCATACTCGTTGGTCCACTGGCATCATCAAACAAGCCTTTGCTAACAAAGCTCACGCCACTGACGCTCTTCTCGCCTCCCCTATGGCGATGTTTCTTTCCAAGGTTGATAGAGGAGCCCAGAGTAGCCTTGTCATTGTCGTAGCTCGTCGAAGGAAGATCCGAAGTGGACATGGTGGCAAAGAGGCTCATCTGCTCATCCCCACTGGATTCGTCAGACATGTAATCAGCAAGCTCCGGGTCAATGATGTTGTCATCATGAAACGCAGGGAACTTGGGCTTTTTCTTTGCTTCGTCATCAACCCCTTTGCGGAATGGCGCTCGATCATCTGGCTCAGATTTAAAGCGATTCAGAAATCCAGCTTTAGAATGATGCCGTTTGTGCCCATGTCCGGCTGAGGACTGAGGCCTACCCGCCAGGGACTTCAACGAACGGGAGGAACCGGGTCGGCTCAAAGTAGGTGAGTCGACGTCAAACACGCCAGATGAACGATTTGCGTCACGAACTCGTCGGGTAGCAGGCATTCCTAGCATAGGAGCAGTTGGGACAGAACGAGAATCTTCTGACCCTTCCGACCCGCCGGTGGCATCTTGTTCCCTTGCCTTGGTTCTATCTGCACCGCTTGGCGATTTGGAATGATTTCCACCAAAGAACCGTGGCATAAATGAATGCTCATCTCCGGATTCTTCGGAAGCGCTACCGTCAAGTCGTCGACTGATCACCTCAAGGCATCTTTTGCAAACACGAAGTGAGCCGTTCACACCAAATCTTTCACCAGATATGACAGTGGTGCATTTTGCATCAAAAATGCAGCCACAGGTTCGGCAGTGATGTTTCCGCCTAAAGGCAGTGAATGGAGTCTGGCAAAGAAAGCATTCCTTGACAGTATCATCCTTCATCCAAAATTCTTTACTGAGCACTTGTCTTCGCATTCTATCTAACTGCGCAATCTGATCAGTTGCGCCCTCGTGACTCATGGTCGTTCCAGGGATGCGCAGACTACCAGAACGCATATGTTGAGAGTGAGATTCACGAGAGAACCCATGATACACAGAACTATGGGCGGAGGTGATGACTGGACTGGCAACCGCTGTCCCTCTGTCGGTAGAAGAATCTCTGGAGCCGTCACGTGAGTGAGAGCGGCCTATCCGCTCCAGGGCTGATGGCCGTTTGTGAATACCATCTGGAGGTAGCATGGATGATCCACCAGACGGAGTTCGGATGTGCCGTGTCCTGATCGAAGGAATAGAGGGATTAGAGGCAGCCGATGCCGCGTTTGTTCCATCGATGCTAGCAATACTAGACGCGTCATCTCTATGTGCTCTTGGGGGTAGCTTCGACTCTGCAGAATCATAGTAGTCCGACGACGGCTGTGTTCCAAGGTGTCGTTCTAGATCGACTCTACTTAGGCTCCGCTGGGAAGAACCATCGGCACCAACCTGTCCTAACACATTTCGGCCCGTGTCCTCCTTGGTTAAAACAGGCGGATCCGCGATGATGGAGCTAGTCGCATTCGTTGGCAAGCTCTGACGACTAGAAGATTGTGATTTTGTGCCAGACATCAAGCCGAGGCCTGTGACTTTGGACGAGGACTGCGAATGTGTACGGGTGTCAGGATGGATTGGGCTGATAGTAGAGGACTGCTTGTCACTCGCGCTGGTTTGGTGCGAAGAACCATTCGTGGATATCGTCAATCCGGTTTCGGCACGACTGAGAGACGATATTGAATGCCTCGAATTACGGGTGTCGGCGCTGTTCTTTTTGGAAAGGGTATCCCTGATCTCGGCATCCTCCTCTTCATGATTTCGCTTGGTAGAACTGCCGACACCAACTGCTTCTCGAAGCCGGCTATACAGTCCACTGAAGCCCTGTTGTACTATGTCCCCTGTGGAACTTCTATTCTCGACAGCGATGGTGGACACGGGCGGAGGGGCGAAGTCGTTGAACGTAGTTAAGGAGTCGACTTTACTCGCGGATGTGTGTATCTTGTCTAAGGCGGAAGCGAGCTGCTCTCTCTCGATGATGGAACTGGCGGCCATGGAAGCGACGGAGCTACGTCGATTTCGGAGGCTGACTGGCGAGCCCTGGGAGCCAGAGGCTTGGGAGATGGACGGGTTTTTCATCGCAGAGACACTCTCCATAACGGCGGCCAGTGAAAGCAGTGTGGTGCCTCAGAATAAAACTCCCGTTCGGTGGGCAGTAGCCGTGAGCGGCTCGTAGATTGTTCGTCTAAGTGGTGGACGAGTTCAGTGGGTCTTGGGGCGAAACATAGCGGACGACAGTATCTTCAGCGCATATTGTTCCCGTTGTTCAGTGAGATGAAGATTAGCAAACGAGAGGCATGACGGATACGGAAGATGGAGGCTCGTCAGAGGTCGGTGAGTGGCACTAGAGCCTGATAAAATGGCTGGTATGGAAACCCCATATGCAATCACTAGCAGATAGCGGTGCGCAACGATGAATGACGCTGGGTCTGAGTCTAGGTAAGCTGGCTGCCGATAAGGCAACAAAGCCCCGTAGACGTAGAGAGGGTAAAAAATGCAAGGTAAGATAGGTAGGTAGGTAGGAGACACGGGACCTTGCGCCTACTGGATATGCGGAATCGGCCAACCAACCTCAAGTTCAAAAGCGGGAAAGAGGCGATGACGACGAGCGACCAAACAATTAGGTAGATGCGGAAGCTTAGCTTGATCATCATAGTGGAGCTTGGGCATGACAGAGGCTGGCCAAGGTCGGTCAGTGGTCAGTACAAGGTACATGTCGGCGCCCGTAAATTGGCAGCACTTTCCCGTAGCCGGTACTCAGACTGGTTGGGCGCTCATCATTGGTGGGCCTTACGGGGTGCCCCCTGTCCAACTCTACCGGACGTGTATCCTCGAGAGCTCAGACGCGTTGAAAGAGTTAGTATCTGCAAATCCGGCAACGTCCCGCGGCCATTTAACAGTTGTAGCTGTCGCAATCGACCATACTATTTCTGCATGTATTGACATGCCATCGCATGACCAGACCACATACTTTTGCCAGATGCAATGATCACCCCACGCTTATGAAAAGGTTGGTGGCAGCGTAGGTTGGAAGATCCTCTGAGATGGCTCATGCCGCTTCTCAGCGAAATATCGCCAATCTGCTCAAACGCAGAAATGCAACCACAATCCCCAGGGACCAGCAAAAGCTCCTTGATCAACCCGGCTCTTGGGCGGTGGAGCTCGACAATGATTCCCAACTCCGAGTCCCCAGGCACGTCTTGGAAACGGCAAAAGAGGTAGCTAGAGCCTCGCGGGAAAAGACCAGCACAAAGAAGAAAGAGCCGACAGTGCCTCAAAGTCGCCAACCCGAGAAGATCCTGTCAGATACCAATGATGTGGCAAAAAGCGTCCCAGATTCTTCACTGGACTCGTCTATTGGCAACGCTACGCAAGAGAGATTCGTATCCTGGTCTCCATCCCCAGCACGATCACTGGCAGGCGACCAACATCATGCGCCGTTGCCCTCTTCAATCAAAGATGGCGACTCTTGTCGCGAAAGATCTCCTTCGATTTCACGGAGGCGGGAGTCAAGTTTCTCTACTCCTCCCCCGCCCGCTTCACAAGTCGCATTCTCTGATGGGCAGTCGTCACCGCCACTGCCTGGGCATGACAGGGCAAACTTTCTCAAGCTTCGTCTCACCGAGATATGGGGGGGCAATGATTGGCTCCCCCCTTCTCATCGCGACCGGTCACGCCTCAGGTTGAGCGAGAGGGTATTGGCGGCACTCTTTCGAGTCACCGAAATCGCCCAACTGAAAGGCGTCCCGCTTCAGTCTCTCTGGCAAAAGGGAGGCCATCTCCACCCGCTTTCTAAAAGCTGGCCCGATGTTGAAGAACAATGTCTCCAAATCGTACGCAGGGTGGAGACGAAATATGCTCTCGCCGACAGAGGGACAGCTCATGCCAATTCTCAAGTCCTTGCCAAAAAGGACGACGGCGAAGAGACTGCAGCCCCCCAAACAACCAAACCGGCTATTGTTTCACGATATCTCGCAGCGGACTTCAATTTTCCGTCAAGCGGGCCAGAGGATGCCCTTGAAACGCAACTACCAGAAGCCCAAATAGCGTCACAAGCCCCCATCAATCGGGCCGCCACTACTCCCCAACTGTCGAACAAATCCTCGTCGAGCGCCCATATTCCTGCTACTTTGAACACGCCGCCATGCGCGCAGCCAAGCCAGCGCATAATACCAGCTACTTTTCGGAAACACCCAAGCCCGCCCCGAGAAGGCCTCGGCGAACCAGGAAAGAAGCGCCGGCGTATGAAGCCAATCCAATTCAGTGATCCTGATGACCAAGAGGAGAATCTTGCAGCGGTAGAAAGTAGCAGGAATGCGACCACCTTCTCACGCATGGCGCCTACCAAAATCTATACCCAGATCTCGAGTTCTAATTCGATTTCCTCGAGCATAGTTGTGCCAGCTACCATCCCACAGTCTCCACCAACTCGGAAGAGTCCGCCCCAAGGACGTGCTCAGCGAGCATCTGAACTCAGCGGAGCAAAGAACCAAACCAAAGGTCAGCTAAATGACAAGAATGATGCGATAGAGATAATAGTTCCCCCAACTATCCCTGAGCTCAAACCTTTCGAGCTCTTCACACAGACATACCCAGCTTACGAAAAGGATTATCGAGGTACCCTGTGGTCGTTTATAAGAGCCTGCGTCTGTCTGGACTACTTGATGAAAGCAAACTCATTGCGAGAGTATCTGTGGGATGACTTTATCAGAGCCTTCTCTGCAGATTATGTCGAATATGTTGAAAATACCAACGATCCCCTTCCAGCCCTGGATTGGTTCAACACTCTTACTGGCGCACCAGTGTTCACTCAACTCTTAGTCAAAAGGGACACCATTCATGATATACTGAACACATACCCTGATGAACTTCAGATGGCAAAATCATATACCAACGAAGAGGGGAAGAGTAAGGGCAGAGATAGCCGGTCCCGTGGAAGTGACCATCAAAGTGAAAGTCCAGCTGAGCCACCTCGAGTCAGCCCTCAGCAAATCTCCTCCCCTCCCCGTATCCTAATCGATCCCGAGACTGTAGTGGAAACCGTTCCCTCTACATCAACCGAGTTGCAGGATGTACAAAATAACATTTCACCAATCTTTCCCAACCCTCGGCCCCCGAGCTCACCAACAACGCCCAAGGTAGATCAGGAGCCTGGGAAACATGCTACGCCCCCGGCTGAAGCCACAGTGCCTAGCACAACCAGATTAGAGTATCCTACACAGGTCAACTATCCCCATCCACTGCTGGACACCCCGCATCCACCAATACCATCAAGCGCGAGGTCAACTGCCACGAGATCGTCGACAGGCACTCGCCGAGGGTCCAGCTACCTCCAGAGGCTCGCATCAAGCGCCAAGGATCCGGATACCAAGAGGCGGGAACGTCTTCGACGGCATTTCCTTAAGAAGAAATCCGGCTCGACACCCAGCTCCAGGAAGGCTGCCTGAAAATAGCACCCCTAGTGGGTTTGGTGGTGACAGTCACATACAGCAGCTACATGTTACCTACTTGTATTTATTAGCCACTCGTGAAAGAGACCTGCATAGGCAATAACGACACATATGAGCGGATGCGAATCATTATTATAACTGGCGTTTTCAATTATCTATATATATTCCCCCCCAAGCTGAGTTTCAGTTTTTCCAAATGGGCACGCGCATGAGAGTATTGCAATTGTACCCGGGACAAGGAGAAGGAAAAAAGGGAGAAGGAACTGATCAAAATAAAATAAAAAAAAAGAAGTTCAATATTCATTTGTGCGTGGGCAACCTGTTGTTCTAAGGTAGAGCAAGACCAGCTTTCCAAGTTATTTCCATAGGCTCAGCCGTGGCTCCCCGAGGAGCGTTCAAAATAGTTTTTCTAATCCGCAAAAATTCAGGCCTTTTTTTCCGGGATTCTCTGTGTCTCCGGGTGCAGTAGAATACATCGAGGCCAGGTGGGCTCCTGTTACGTAGCGTGCGTTTCTCTCATCGATCCTTGACATTCTCATTGCTCGTTTCCCTTTCCGTAAAATAATAAGATGAAAAAAAGAAGGAAAAGGAATTGTGTGGTGAAAAAAAAGTGGTAGAAGAAAAAAAAACTCCAGAATTCGTGAAGGCGTCAATCGGGACCCAAACAGAGAGAGGTGGGACAAAAATCAATCAATAAGGGTCGTCGTGGGTGTCGGTGTGTGTGTGTGTGGGAAACATTAGGCGGGCGACCTACTCTGCGGGTGCAGGGTCGGCTTCGGCGGCGGCTTTGGCAGCCTCCTCCTCCTTCTTCTTCCTCTGGCGCTCCTCCTCCTCGGGGGTCAGGGTCCTGAGCTGGAGGGCGTGGATACCACCCTCGAGGGCCATCTCGTCTCGCAGGAGGGCGTAGACCATGCGATGCCTGGCGGGCTGCATCTTGGAGGCGAAAGCATCCGAAGTGATGACCAGCCTATGCACGGATTTAGTGACCAGTCAGACGGGTGGGTGGGGCGGGTGATGGGCTTGCGATGCGAGCAGAGCAATAAGGCAGACCAGCATGTAGGGAGGGAGGCACAAAGGAGATGGGTGGGTGGGTAAGAGGCCTGCCGACATGGCCTGGTAGAGTGGTACCTACCTGAAGTGCGTCTCCTTGGACGTGCTGCCTTGCATAGCCTTGTGGTGGGCATGCAGATGGGAGTCATTGTAGATCTCCAGAGTTTGGGGGTTGAACGCCGCCGTGATCTGCTCGGTGCTCGTTAGCTGATTGCAATTGAGAAACTCCAGATGATTGGGGGGGTTTTAATGGGCTGACCTTGGCGCGAATGGCATCTTCAAGGGGAGTGGTTGAACTCATATTGGAGAACTGTCGTCCCACAGCCGAAAATCCCAGAGCGTAACGTCGAAGCATGGTGGGATGTCGAAACTTTTTTTTGGGCTGTGTCCTCTTACAGTCGTCGACAGCTGCACATAAACTAGATGCACATACACGACTGTTGCGAGGATATCAAAGGGCGTTCACGTCCTGGCAATTGGATTGGATGCGTGGGTGGGTGTCTGGGGAAAATTTGAATCGAGGTTACACGGCAGCAGCAAACAAGACGAGGTCAAAGGGACAGTCAATGGCGGACGGCGAGCGGGTTTTAACAATCTAGCCAGTCAATTATGGAAAGGAAAAAAAGAAAAGAAGGCCCAAGAGACGGGATAAAAGAGGTGGTGAGGAGGGCGGGAGTCTGGAGGCAAAGTAAGGAAAAAATAGACTGGCGCGGACCAGACCAGACACTGACGTCCAGGCCTACACCCGTTAGGTATTTTCGGTGAGGTCGGAGAGACGAATCAGACGGGGTGACTTGGTGAGCAGCAACGCCAGACGGACGGCGGCTGTCCAATGCGATGAGACTGAGTTGCATGACAGATGCATGGCGGTGACGAGACGCAAGAGTCAGTGGGCCCTTTGGGCTTAGGGGCCTCGCCGCCTTTACTCGGCGCCTGCACGCGTGCCAGCAAAGCCCGCCATCCCAACCACGCTCCCGACCGACAAGTCCATCCCTGCCGGCATCTGCCTCCTATCCTCATGGCCGGTGCGGGCGGTGGGTGCATGCGGATGGTGCCGCGTGCGTTTGCGTTCGACGGCTCCCTCTCTCCTGCAGCGAGCGTGAGGTCAGGTCGACGGGTCGGCGTTGAGGGTGCGTGGGCAGCCAGTCACCCGATGTCTCAGGACATTGGATCAATGAGGTGGTAGACATGCCGTCTAACGGTGTCCCCGATCGGCAATAGTGCCATCGCACGGCAGCTTCCATTGACTGACACCCTCATACGGTTTCATGAAAGATCTATCGCCGTGCTTGCATGATGCCGTATTGGGAGCCACCTTGGAGGTCTGCATTTCGGGAGTGTTGGCATGCTTTGCGTCTATCTCTAAAAATATCATGGGCAAAATTAAGAAAATAAACGAGACGAATATCCACACTATTCTATGGCCTCGTCTTCATCCGACACCTGCAAGTCCTCTGTATCCCCAGACATCCAACCTTCTGTAACCTGCAACCCAACATCAAACATAGTGTCATAACTTGACATGGCCAGACATCAATGTCTAAGCCAGAGATGCGTCTGGCCAATGGGATCAACCAGTGATCATGTCCATCTATAACATGACTCTTGCCGTATCAATGTGTTCAGGCTCCAACAAGGCCCATAACACGCGGAATAGCAACAAAAACAATATTATGGGGAGTCTTGTCCGCCACAAAGAACACCGCCATCATGAATCCCTGCTGGCTCAAATGACGACCAAACGTGACCACGTCGGTGGACAGCAAATCGTGCAGGTGTGATAAATAAAAAACAAAACAAACGGGTCGGCGAAGATCCTCGAATGGCAATCAGGCAAGGCGGGAAGCAAGGAACTCGCAATCACGGCTCCCATCCAGTCCTCGCAGGTGTTTGGGCTTCCCTTCCTGTACAAGCCGTCGTCTGGAAGGCGGTGTAAAAGCAGCGCTGCCCAGGCACACGGGGCTGGACTTGAACAATCCCGCCTTTTAGGTTCAGGGAGCACAAGAGCAAATCCCGACAGTTGCCACGAGGCCAAGGATTACTCTCGTTGGTCAGTCCCTGGCCGATACCGCCTTTTTCGCCCTCGTACCTGGGGTTCGTCTACCAGGTACATGTGCATCCTGCATGCATAGTCTGCCTACGCGGACCAGGAGGTACCTTATTGTACATAGTCCCATGTAAAATATGCACTTGGGAGATGCGGATCCTGTCTGGCGGGAGCGGCTGGGAGCTATCCTTGGGCAGCTCTACTCGAGCCTAGAGGCCCCTAGCTCTTCCATAGTCCTGTGACAGTCACATCAGCTTTCTTTTTCTTCGCTCACTTTTCTTTTTTTGTGGGACGGGCGAGGGCGGGGTCGTTTGCTTTGGCCTTGGAGGAACAGCAAATCCAATCTGGCGGTGGAGAGCCCAACGCCCGGCGTCAGCAAGCCATCCCAACTCCTCTTGTTTTGATCATGGCTTCTCTTCTCATCTCATCTCATGTGCTGCTGCACCGTCTCAGCGCATTCAATACGACGTCCAGTGGCAAGACAGGAGGATCACAACACTCAGGTGGACAGGTCAGGCTGGCCGGATGCATCGGTCGTGGAGCAGTGATATAGGATCCTGTCATCAGGAATGATGACGGACTGCGCTGAGGTTCCAATACCAAGGCATATCGAGTAAGACGCATCTGCTTAGAATATTATGGCTGGCTACTGCTGCAACTATCCACACGCGGCTTATGGTGGTGCTGAACGTTGGTGCCTCACTGTGCTGTCGCAATGAAGTCTCACTGCATCGTATTCGAGGGTGCACACGTGATCGCTGTGTCATCAATGCAGAGGTGCCTCGCAGATTGCTCGCATCTGGGACGGTTGGTTTGATCGTCGAGGCATGACCGTGGTTTTGTTTTCCTCTGCATGTTCCCTCTGGTTGCCTTGCATGCTCAACACCCGATGTGATGATGACTGCATGTCAACGAAAGCTTACTGAATGACACCCTTATGCCTTGGTGCCGGGTAGCTGGCGAGGGGTTGAGTGAAGTGAGATCAATGGTTTAATTGTTTCCCCATGTTCTCTCTCTTCCCTCATCCTCCGTTTGATCTCCCAAGACCTTGGCAGCCTGCTCCCCAAGAGCCTCCATCTCATATAGAGAGCCTCGCAACCTAGAAGAAGGCGCCGAAACGATGAAACAATCCGCTAGAGCCATCTTAGACGGGGCCTCGCCCAGATCAGCCCCCACTCTGCCGGCTATCTCTCAGCCACGGCTCTCTCCCAGCGCCTCAAACAAACAATCCGCAACCCAAAGCGCCGCCGATGCTGCTGCATCACCAGTGTAACAACAGCCCCAACAACCCACCCCCTGCCTAGAGCCATTTAACGGCCTTCTGTATTAAGATCCTTCAGTTCGCTTTATCGTCCATCAGTTCCACAATTCCCATGCCCGCTGCCGCTCTATAATCCTGCCCTACCTGTACCAAAAATCCTTGTCTCCCTTCCTCATGTACCTATCACCATCCACCATTCGCCGCCTGGCGTCATCCCTTCCCCCTCGCCTCTCACCATACCTCCTCTGCCGCCGGACAATGGCTACTACCCTGCCACGCCTGCCGGTCCTCGAAGCCGTTGCGGCCCACGACCCGGCGTCCACCGCCGTGGTCCACAGCCTATCAGGCCGCTCCTTCACCTATGGTGAGCTCCTCGGCGACGTTGGCCGTGCAAGGGACCGCATTAGACACGCCCGGGGCGGTGCCGACCTGGACGGCGAGAGAGTGGCTTTTCTAGTAGAGAACAGCTATGACTACGTAGGTGAGCAAGCTCTGGGAACCCAGATATAGACTCATCCGTAAGAAAAGCCTAGAGTGTCAGCTAATACCGTGTGCCGCTGTGCCATTGGGTTGATCAGTGACACTGTTGGCCATCATGGCCGCACGATCAATTGCCGTGCCTCTGTCCCCTGCATTCCC